ATACATAACTAATATATTTCGATGAATTATTTTGCTTAATTGGACTCAAATATACATTCCTCTTATTTATTTCTTTCTGTTTGGGTAAAATTTAGTAAAATTGAATACTCATTGTAACAACAAATTTTATGAAAAACATAAAATTTTTGTACAACTTGAATATATTTCGATCAAATGATATTGCAAGTACAATCTCTATTTATCTCCTCTGATTCTTCTCTTCATGAATTTGGGATTGAGACCTTCAAAGATGGATTTGACGAATGAATCTCCTTCGGGCTTGGTCTTTAATTTCTCTAACATTAATTTGGGGGTCGAATGACTTATTCCCGTATTAAATGTTAGGCCTTGACTTGATTGAATATGACTTCTTGGAAGACTTGATTCTATGATCTTCTTGAAAGAGGGACTCTGACTTGAATAACGTTGATTCGTGGGCTTGATAGCTTTTTCTCGGATCAAACGCTATGTTGGTTGAACTTCTCAACGAACGCGGCTTGAATGTCGCTTGAACGTCGTTGATATTCTTGGATTGACTTGAGAAGCGTGAAAGTCGCTCTCTTTAATTCTTGAGAAAGACCTGCCGCCTCTTTTTCTTCTTCTTGGCCTTCTTCTTCATTAAATGGACTTCGGACGGTTCTTCAAGAACATCTTCAAATCTTCAAGAGGGTTCTTGAGAACTCTTGAATTTGAGACTTTAATATTTGAGATGTGTTTGATATTTTTGAGGTGTTTGAGGTGTGATTTGTGGCATTGAGGAGAGCCCTATTTAGAGGTGTAGGAGAGAGGTCTTGGAGAAAAAGACTTCAATTTGATTGGACCTTCATGATTTGACATAATCTCTATCCTTCTCCTAAGATTTGATATAATCTTTTTTCTTATCCTAAGATTTGACTTGCTGGGCAAGAAATAATTAATTTAATAATTAAATATCTTATTTATCTTGGATTTATGTCCCAAAATAAATAAAGACGTTAATTAATAAAATATTAAAATTTCGATGTCTACAAATGCCCCCTTGAGACTTGTTTACGGACAAAATGACTTGGTAGTGAATGAGTCTCAAAATTTTGAATTTGGTTTGGACATGTAGATAGTTTAAACTCTTATCCAGGAGTTCTTCAAATTAAGTTTGTAGATAGTTTAAACTCATATCAGAGAGTTCTTCATTTGACTTAATTTGTAGATAGTTTATACTCATATCAAGGAATTGTTCATTTGACATAATTTGTAGATAGTTTAAACTCGTATCAAAGAGTCTTGATTTGATTTGACAGATAGTTTATACTCGTATCAAGGAGTCTTCAATTTTGTAGACATTTTATGCTCGTATCAAAGAGCCTTCAAATTTGTAGACATTTTATACTCGTGTCAAGTAGCCTTCAAATTTTACATGTAGACCGTTTATTCTCGTGTCAAGGAGATCTTGATATGTAGACATTTTATGCTGGTGTCAAGGAGCCTTCAAGTTTGATATGTAGACATTTTATTCTCGTGTCAAGGAGATCTTGATATGAAGACATTTTATGCTCGTGTCAAAGAGCCATATAGATAGTTTAGGCTCATATCATGGAGCATATGTAGATAGTTTAAGCTCATATCAAGGAGCATTATATATGTAGATAGTTTAGGCTCATATCAAGGAGCATCGAATATGTAGATAGTTTAGGATCGTATCAAGAAGCATTTGAATATGTGGATAGTTTAAGCTCATGTCAAGGAGCATATGTAGATAGTTTAAGCTCGTATCAAGGAGCATTGTAGATAGTTTAAGCTCGTATCAAGGAGCATTTGAATATGTAGATAGTTTAGGCTCGTGTCAAGGAGCATTGTATTTGTAGATAGTTTAGGCTCGTATCAACGAGCATTTGAATATGTAGATAGTTTAAACTCGTATCAAGGAGCATTGGAATATGTAGATAGTTTAGGCTTATATCAAGGAGCATTTGAATATTTGATGGAGCTCTTCATGTGAATTGCCCCGATGCTTCATGGCTTGGGAAGACATCATTCTTCATTGCCCCCATATATATTTTCTTCAAAGAGGTCTTCATGCACCTTCAAATATCTTCGAACTTGATTTTGAGAGAAGAGATGAGAGGTAGAGAAAGTCCCACTGGGCGTGCCAAATTTGTAACAACAAATTTTATGAAAAACATAAAACTTTTGTACAACTTGAATATATTTCGATCAAATGATATTGCAGGTACAATCTCTATTTATCTCCTCTGATTCTTCTCTTCATGAATTTGGGATTGAGACCTTCAAAGATGGATTTGACGAATGAATCTCCTTCGGGCTTGGTCTTGAATTTCTCTGACGTTAATTTGGAGGTCGAATGACGTATTCCCGTATTAAATGTTAGGCCTTGACTTGATTGAATATGACTTCTTGGAAGACTTGATTCTATGATCTTCTTGAAAGAGGGACTCTGACTTGAATAACGTTGATTCGTGGGCTTGATAGCTTTTTCTCGGATCAAACGCTATGTTGGTTGAACTTCTCAACGAACGCGGCTTGAATGTCGCTTGAACGTCGTTGATATTCTTGGATTGACTTGAGAAGCGTGAAAGTCGTCTTTTTAATTCTTGAGAAAGACCCGCCACCTCTTTTTCTTCTTCTTGGCCTTCTTCTTCATTAAATGGACTTCGGACGGTTCTTCAAGAACCTCTTCAAATCTTCAAGAGGGTTCTTGAGAACTCTTGAATTTGAGACTTTAATATTTGAGATGTGTTTGATATTTTTGAGGTGTTTGAGGTGTGATTTGTGACATTGAGGAGAGCCCTATTTAGAGGTGTAGGAGAGAGAGGTCTTGGAGAAGAAGACTTCAATTTGATTGGACCTTCATGATTTGACATAATCTCTATCCTTCTCCTAAGATTTGATATAATCTCTTTCCTTATCCTAAGATTTGACTTGGTGGGCAAGAAATAATTAATTTAATAATTAAATATCTTATTTATCTTGGATTTATGTCCCAAAATAAATAAAGACATTAATTAATAAAATATTAAAATTTCGATGTCTACACTCACAAAATGTACTACTATTATTCGATCTTATGTGCATGCATAAATATAAATAAAATATTATAAGTTAATATATGTATCTAAATTATAAGTTATGTAATGATATAATATTTTTAATATTCAACATTAGTAAATATAATTAAGATTGTGTTCAAGTGAGAATGATTCTGAATAAAATAAATAAGAAGGAGAATCTAATCAGAATAAGGAATCTAATAAAGATGGATAAATTTCGAGCAGCCAAACGGTTATGGGCAAGCTGGGCAAGCTGACCGGGGCAAACAAACATTGGGCACCAAGGTATTCCCTATAAAAGGGGTTAAGATACAACCGTGAACACTATATAATTTTGTACACTCTCTTATATACATGCATCTACATACAATTCATACATTTGATCATCTTTTTTCCTTTTACTGACTTGAGCGTAGGAATGCTAAATCGTTTCGTATGTCATCATCTGCAATTTGGACGATTGAAGATCTTTCTCAGCAAGTTCAACCTAGATCCAAGTCTCCGGCACGTCAACACCTAATTTTTTCTAGTTCAATGAAGTATCTATTTTAATCCAGGGAAAGATTCATATAGTGCATAACTCATATTTCCTTTTTGTGATTGAATGAAATGTCGTATACGACGTACCTATTTTTCCTAAATGAAATTAAGCAAAATTTTAAAGTATCATATGTTGGCATTTAATGCTAATTTTGTATGTGTACGATTAACTTATAAAAATAAAGAAACATTATAAACACCTGAGATTAGAATAAACAATTAAAAAGATATTCAAGAATATCCACATAGTATTATTTTTTCAAGAGTGAATATAATATTGTTTATTAATAAAATTTTGTTGGAAAGAATATGATTAAACATAATATTATGTAAACGAATAAAGGAGAATCAAATAAAATTTTATCAAAATAATAATTAAAAAAAAAAAGAAAGATATTTACTTCAATAAAGATATTTAATAAAAAATCTGGCTTCGTTGTAACTATTTGGGTGGAAATATTAAATTTGACTATGAATATACTAAAACGAATATGACTGTTGAAAAGTCAAAAACTAGTGGCTGAATTTTTAACTTTTCCAGACATAGATTTGTGTTTAATTCATGTGGAATTCGTACGGCAACAATTGTCTGATATGTTAAAAGATGTTAGATTTTACACGAGATGGTTTGAGTCTCTTCAAGCTTAATCAGTGGTTTCGTATTCGAGCCTTGGGAATGCAACAGTGTTAAAATTCTTGAGAGAGAAATTTGCCGCCCTTATGGTCATACCCGGCTCGATTCTGGATTAGTCGGTTTCCCTGTAGATCCGAAAACCAGAAGGTCCCTGTACCAAAAAAAAAAAAAGAGATGTTAGATTTTGCAAGATGGATCCAGTTTCTTGATTTTTCATTTTGCATTTTATTTAGACTTTGTGGTTTTATATCATATTTAATATTTTAAATAAGAGAGAGAGAGAGAGGATCATGTACATGGGACTAGGGTTTGGAATTATGATCAAATTCTACACATTTAAAGATGAGAATTAGGTTGTAGTTGAGTCATATTAGGCCATCATTAAATCTTGTGATAAATCTATATAAAACTTATTTAATTATACCTACGCGACATTTTTAAAATCGTTATTGGCCAGCATTAATCATTTATTTTACACATAATCTGGATGCTAATCAGATCATAATCATTTTAACTGGCTAAAGTCAAGATAATTCGGTTTTCAAAGAATGTTGACCAAACATCTTTAAAATTTTAGTTACCAGAAATTTTTTTAATTCACTTTAGTGGTACAACCAAACATTTTAAAATTTAATAAATAATAATAATAATAATAATAAATTTTTAAGATCTATATATATATATTTACTAGTTGATGCATTTACTAAAACAATTAATAAAATCTATTTTCATTTCCCTCCAAAAGGAGTTACATTTTTTTTAATTAACTACTCATTAATCTGCTAAAACCGTTACACCTTAATATATATATTTTTATTATTTATTTTTTGGATCAGTTACTAAATTAATTCTAAATTTAGTAGCAAAATATTCAAATGTGTAACGACTAATGTTGGAACTTAAAGTTGATTGGCACATTCAGAATTGTAACCGCTATATTTGGTTGCATTGTTGGAAGAAAAATATGATTGACACATATTTGTTTTTTCTAAAAATCAGAAACACCAATATTTTTTTATTTATGCTAATTTTCTTAATATATGCCACAAATATATAAATTATTTTATTTATGTTACTAATGTAAACGTTGCATGGTTAAAATAAAATTTAAATCTCAATTAATATTTAATTAAAATAACTTACGAAAAAATAATAATTTTTGTATGATAGAAGTACATGTCTAATTAATAAATACAAACAAAACGTGTTATATATCTGTGCAAATGCACATGATTAAGTAATAGTAGTTAATAGTTTAGGATCTCTCATATTTATAAGAACTGCATTATCCGTTTTATTTGATGCAATCAATATAGAGACGAATTGAATACTTTCATAATGTTCATTTTTAATAATGAATTTTTTTTATTAAAATGTGATATTATTATTTAACTTATAATTTTAATATTATATACATAAATATAATTTGTGATAGTTTAAATATCTGTGAATGTGCAGAAGATCGAATATTAGTTCAGTAGTTTGTATGTATGATTCAATGAATTTGCTCATTTTATATTCAATTAAACAATTCAATAATTTTGCTTTCAATATTAGGTAACCATTAAAAATGGGATTTGAGGCTTTGGATTTTGTGGGGACACATCCAATGACACCTAAGCTAGAGCTGTAAGCAGTGAGTTGTAAAACGAAGAAAACGAGTTATATATGAGATGTGAAAAGGATTTGGATTTGAGCATAACTAGTACGTTACCCGCGCGTTGCGCGGCCTAATATTAAAAATGGTGTGAATGAATGAAAATTTAATAGAATTTTTTTTTAAAAAAAAAATATTGAGATAATGTAGAATATTTTTTTTGTTAATTTATTTAAAAATACTTCCACAAATACAACATCTATTATAAGTGATCTGTGTTTGTTATCACCAATAGTAATAACAATAATTAGGCAACATGGATCGTGACTCTAGAAATAATACAATTAACAAAAAAAGAAATATAAAATCCAATATAATTCATTTAAAAAAAAATTAAAATAAAATTATTAAGCTCACAAAAATATGTGATATACCATGAAAAAAAAAAATATTGGTCACATTAATGACACTTTTTCAAAAATTTTCATAAAAATGTATATGTGATAACATAACTTTCATGGTTCAAAAAAGAAAATAAAGTCATGATTACTATTGTACAAATAAACTGATATTGAATATTAATGTTAACATGTACGAAGATGAAAAAATTCAAATATATAATACAAATAAAATATCTAATAAAAAATAAAATAACTTTTATTCTGCATGTAATTAATTT